GTGGTTGTTAGTTTTTACACAGGTTGACGGATAGGACAGTTTAAAAGGGGATTCTGCATTACCTAAAACTGTTTGCAATCCACGATGCATTGATATTTTTCATTTTCGAAATTTTAATTATAACTGAGATGGTCTGATTTCGTATCGCTTCTAATTTGATATATGTCCTAGTTTTAGGTCACATTATGTGAACACAAGACAGTCAAAGTCAATAAACATTAGAGGATTTTGATGAAGAGTGTACTTCTAACCTCTCTTGACACAGTTATTCAGATTAAAAATTTACAACTGACAAGAAATGTATCAAGGTCGCACACCGAAAGCCATATCACGTTGCATGTGTAACCTGCGAGACGTCAGAGCTGTGCTATACAGAACATTCAATACGACCCTAGACTACCTTGTAATATACAAGCATACGGAAGGCTTATGGACTGGGCTACCTACACTAACAATGTTGTGTGTTGAATTAGCTCTTAATACGAATTATTCATACCCGATTATTCTTGTGTTTTTTGTTTTTATAAATAACCATTATGTTTCTGAGTGAAATATAACTTGCATGTATCAGGAATATTACACCAATACACTTTTCATACATACAGGAGATCCTTTTATTATATACAGCGTATTTGTGAGAAGCAACCAGGAACATAAATAGGTACACGTAACGAAACCAATACCTCACAGGACGGGTGTACTGGTCAGCCCAAAATGGATCGGCGTTTGGAATTGATCAAGGCACGTAAATTGAAATATGATCTACCAGATCATTTGTTTTTGTTTTTGAGGTGTATATGTAAAAACAAACATATTAAATATATACTATCACTGATCGACAGCCAGTCCCGCCTGCAGACCTCGTTCTTTAACAGTGCATGTAACCTCCCTTCATACTGGTTCGAGAGACCTATCAGTGCATGTAATCTCCCTTCATACTGGTTCGAGAGACATATCAGTGCATGTAATCTCCCTTCATACTGGTTCGAGAGACGTATCAGTGCATGTAACCTCCCTTCATACTGGTTCGAGAGACCTATCAGTCCATGTAACCTCCCTTCATACTGGTTCGAGAGACATATCAGTGCATGTAATCTCCCTTCATACTGGTTCGAGAGACATATCAGTGCATGTAATCTCCCTTCATACTGGTTCGAGAGACATATCAGCGCATGTAATCTCCCTTCATACTGGTTCGAGAGACGTATCGGTGCATGTAACCTCCCTTCATACTGGTTCGAGACCTATCATTCCTTAAATGTGTTGCTCCAAAACTTTACTTCACTCTGGATATTCACCAAAATAGGTCAAGATCAGCAACCTTGTAAAATGCTGCAAGAGTAATACACATAAATGTTTGAAATGCTACATGTAATGTGGTCTATGTAACTACTGTCTTTTGGTGTCATATTCAAATGTGTAACCTCCCTTCATACTGGTTCGAGAGACCTATCAGTGCATGTAACCTCCCTTCATACTGATTCGAGAGACCTATCATTCCTTAAATGTGTTGCTCCAAAACTTTACTTCACTCTGGATATTCACCAAAATAGGTCAAGATCAGCAACCTTGTAAAATGCTGCAAGAGTGATACACATAAATGTTTGAAATGCTACATGTAATGTGGTCTATGTAACTACTGTCTTTTGGTGTCATATTCAAATGAGTGGGGGTTCAATTCCGGAAATGAGTAATGTTGAGGCGAGGTATCTACTTTTATACTGCGTAAGTATGGGGATGGTCGATCCCTTCTGCATCGTTGTAAAGACCGGGACAATTTGATATGGTATTGTTGCTGCATTCATGTCGATATACTACTGTTAGTCGAGATCGTTGGAGTAGGTTATATACGGGACAACGGACAAAACGTTCTTTTATAAGTATACGTCGTTTATCTATTTATGTAGGTAGTATATTGATTCGTGGGAAGAAAATGAAGTTTACATTCAAGTTTATCGAAAGCAAATTGTCAAAATAGCTAATGTTTGAAAAAGGTCTTCGGGTATGCATTGCTATTATGGCAGTATTTCACTAAGTGTATTTACAGTATACGGTTAAAACGACAGGAGAAACTGTCAGAAAAGTTAATAACATACACTGCATCCTTTTATAGAGTGATATTCGTTATGTTGTCACTGGATAAAATACATGTAAGTAATGTTTAGAGAATAGTTGACAGACCAAATCACCCGGCTACGTTTAACGGTACTGGAAAACTCTAGCACTTGTTGCAAGAAAAGGATAATGAAAAAGGGTTAACGATGACTCGTCACGTTTTGAGTAACAAGAAAACCTGGGCTTAACAAAAGAGTATACATAAAGCTCAAAAGAAAGCATCGACCATAATCAAAGTTTTTTAAGAAAGGAGTTTTAATTGCAGTCTCTCGTCTTCAGAACAGACTGGGGGAACGAAAGAAGACAAGGTATTGAAAGAGAAAAAAAATTCAAAGGCGAAACGGTAATACTGGTATCTTAGCTGCATTGGCTAATGAAATTAATCTCTTGGATCAACAATTTGGAAATTCAATCGGTATACAAAATCTTGCTCCTTACGTAGTAATAATTCACAAAACTAAAGCATGTGCATGGTTCTCAATGCTTCGGACAGTGCACTGGTCTTCCGGTGGAGCTTTCAAAATATATGCAGAATCAAGATTCTTGACAAAAAAAGTATAAAAAATAATGTAGTCATTTCATGAAATCGACAAACAATTTTAATTGCAATATATATTATTCAAATGCTGGGATGATAAAAATATTTTACATCTTGGAGTCTTCGTCAACTTGCTAGATACTATTTGCAATCCAAACTGTACAGAACGACCTTACATTTTCATAAAAACGACACCGAACAACGTTGTGGTCTGCTACAAGAAACACGATCCGTCATCGTTGCACATGGCCTGTATACCGGCAATGAATGTCAACCTGTTCAAATAAACTGCAAAATGTTTAATGAGCTATAATAATAACTATAATCTGTCAACTCGAGTTTCATTATAGTAGGTCACTTTATGGGACAAATGAATTCCCTGTTTACCTCACATAACTATTTATAGCACTCATAATAACCAGGACCAATAATTAGGCATATTCCGTCTGCCTATTGCAGAGTTATCTTCTCTTGTGAGCAGGTATTGATTGTTACGTCATTGGTTTGTGTGATAAAATTATGTCGTTTTCTCAAAAATTGATGACGTTACTCTCACAAACAAATGACGTAACAATCAATACCTGTTCAGAAGAGAAGATAACTCTGCAATACGAAAAGACGGAATACCGACAACACAGGTCGTCAGTAAGGGATGTCTGGAGCTGATCACACAGGACGTACGCTGAGAGCAGATCACAAAGGACGGGTGTAGCAGACCAAGGTAAAAATCTTTGATGTAGAAATTTTCGGATAAATACAAACGACACATGAGGTCATGTTTTTCCTATTTGTGAATGAGAATGTGAAAGTAAAACCTAAAATAAGCAACGATGCCACGCCGCGGAGATAAACATTCCGTCTGCAGACCTCATTTTAAACAGTGTGTACTAAAGTCGTTAGATTCCAGTCTGAGCGATTTAACATAATCTATATTATATAGCTCCTTGTCTATTACACAGAAGTGAGCCCAAATAATAGGTAAAATGTCAGCATAATTAAGATGCTCAAAGAATGTTTACTTCCCAAAGTTTGAAATGCTACGGGTCTTTGCTACAACCACGGAATTAGATTGTTATCTAAGTCCGTGCTACAACGGATGCATCATGGGTATTTCTTTGTGGTCATTTTTTTATGTAAATGATGGCGTTAATATGTGATTGGCTTTTAATAAAAAAAATATATAAGTACACGATATGCATTGCTGATCGCCTATAATCAAAGAGGGATTTGAAATGAGATATATTTGAATATTGGAGACAATAGTTATTGATGGACAGTTTTTCTGATCGGATGACTAACGTGAACACTGATAACATACAACCAGTCGGTCGATAACGGTGTAAGGTATTTATTGTGTTTATGATAACGCCTGTTACATTGATATGTTTACACGACCTAGTTACTAAGTACAAAACAGGAAATGACATACGTGTCACAAGTGCATGCAGTTTAACTTAGGTCAGTGAGTGATGGTGAGGTCAATTTTCCATTTTGTACAATAGAAATATGGGAACATCCTTTTTCAATCCATATGAAGACCAGGACACAGGTTTGACCTTGGTATCATTATGTTTTCATATCGGTATACGGTCAGTCAGGGTATCTTAATAGGTTACTCATGGGACAACGGGACGTTCTCCGAAATATACGTCATCTATCTATTTATAGCAATGCGGGAATAATGTTGATTCGTGAAATCATTTTACTTAAAAGTTTATCGGAAACAACGACAGACAGCTGTAGTTTGAAACAGGTATCCGGGTATGTACTACTACGTTTTAGGTCTATATAGAATATACGGTTCAACCATGTAAAGGCTAATGTCATTGCTTTTCATTTGGGTAAAAATGTTTGACCGTGGTGTAGTTTAGATTGTATACAAATACGATACCTTATCCGTCTACTCATATTATCTGGGTACGTGGTATTGGGGATATTTGGACAAAGACTATTTGTTGATAATAAATTTTATGGTGTACATTTAAAGTAATAATAGTGTTAGTCAGTTGTTAAATGATTGGAGCCTATAATTCTTTTAAAGTATATATATATAAAGTAAACGGTTCAACCTTGTAAAGTTTTATGTCATTGCTTTGAGGAAAACGTTTGGCTATGGTGTTGTAATTAGGAGCTTATCTAACCGTGATCTACATTGTTTACATATACGATAGCACATTCCTCTACATATACGTACGTGTATTAAGTTAAAGAAGATTTGATTAGGGACTATGTAAGTTAAAAATGAAACAGATGATGCATATACATCTATCGCAATAGCAAAATATATAGAAATGTATTTAACGATGTATTAATATGTGATATACGAAAAACACAGGAATACGATATAAATTGATGTAGGTATTTTCTTTTGTCCCTAATTATTTACATGTTGATGTGTCTGATGATAATTACTTGGCCAATCCGGATCTGTTGAAATATCATATTGTCTCTATCAAGGTAGCCGTTACATTTAATGTATTTTCATACATTACGCCTGTCACATTGATATATTTACACGACCTAGTTATTAACTACAAACAGGAAATGACATACGTGTTACAAGTGCATGCAGTTTAAATTACGTTAGTGAGTGATGGTGAGGTAAATTTCCTATTTTGTACTACATGTATATAAATATGGAAACATCTTTTTTCAAACAATATGAAGACCAGGACACAGGTTTGACCTTGGTATCATTATGTTTTCATATCGTTATAAGGTCAGTCAGGGTATATTAAGAGGTTACTCACCAAACAACGGGACGTTCTCCGAAATATACGTCATCTATCTATTTATAGCAATGCGAGTATAATGTTGATTCGTGGAAATCATTTTACTTAAACGTTTATCGGAAACAACGACAGACAGCTGTAGTTTGAAACAGGTATCCAGGTATGTACTACTACGTTTTAGGTCTATATAGAATATACGGTTCAACCGTGTAAAGGCTCATTGCTTTTCATTTGGGTAAACAATGTTTGACTGTGGTGTAGTTTAGATTGTATACAACTACGATACCTTATCCGTCTACACATACTTGGGTACGTGGTATTGGGGATATTTGGACGAAGACTATTTGTTGATAATAAATTGTATGGTGTACATTTAAAGTAATAACAGTAATAGTCCGTTGTCAAATGATTGCAGCCTATACGACTGTTATAGTGTATATATATGAAGTAAACGGTTCAACCGTGTATAGTTTTATGCCATTGCTGTACACCTAGTTAAGTCAAGGAAAACGTTTGGCTATGGTATTGTAACTAAGAGCTTATCTAACCGTGATCTACATTGTGTACATAAACGATAGCACATTCTTCTACATATACGCACGTGTATTAAGTTAAAGAAGATTTCATTCAGGACTATATTAATTGAAAATGAAACATATGATGCATGTTCATCTATCGTAATAGCAAATTATATAGAAATGTATCTAACTATATATTAATATGTGATATCCGAACAACAAAGGGATACGAAGATCAATTTATGCAGGTAATTTCTAGTGTCCTTACTTATTTATATGTTGATATGTCTGATGATAATTACTTGGCCAATTCAGATTGAAATATCATATTGTCTCTATCAACGTAGCCGTTACATTAAATGTATTTTCAGTAACACTCGGACATAGGTACAATGGAACTTAACTTACATGGAAAATATCCGTCAAGGCTTATTATAGAATTGGGTTTTCCCGTGCTCGTTTAGAATTAGAGTATTTTGAGATTTGTACCGATGTGGAATGTATATAAAATATATAGATACATAATGTATGTAATTGCTGTTGTGTTCAAGAGGAGAATTATATTGATTGTTATATTTCCATATTATGACATGAAAAGCACGTATACGTGATTCGGCTCATATATTTTATTAGTTAATTATGTGTGTGGATCTTATTTTTTCTCTCTCATTTACTTGTAGTCACCATTTAACGATATGGCAGCGAAAGACAAACCACCTCCAGAGGTTCTACAATTGCACAAAGAGATGGTTAAGGAACTAGGAAAATTATTTTCGGTTCCTGGAAAAGCATGGTCTGAAATGCGGAGCCAGGTGGGAATGCTAGATCTCCTCTCCAATGCTGTCCTAGGACAAGTTGAAAGCATGACTGATCTGTTCATTGAATTGATAAAGAGCAATGGCAATAAAATTACGTACGGGAAGTACGATAAGATTTACGCCATTTTTGATGACGAAGACGTTGCGGCTGGAAACATAATTAAACGCTTCACAAAAAGTATAGCAGAGGCCTCTAAAACAAAAGGTATGTATGCACTGCTTACAAAAAGGATTAACACATACCACCACAGAACAAAAAGCATTGTATTACATGTTGCAAAACAGCTTTTAATATGTTTAGAAAACACAATAAATGAAAACCCTGAAATCCAGAAGAAAAAGACAACAACCGTTTTATACCCCAATAAGTCTTTCTTATCCTAATCATAAAACATTTTTGTCATTTACAGATAAATGACATTTAAATGCCAGATCTGATTTTTTATGTTTAACTAAAAGTTGTATAATAACAAATATAGTTATCTTTACTAAGACCATAACTCTATTTCTACTTTCAGGTCTAAACGTCTGAGTAACAATAATAATTTAACACCACCTATACCACAACTTCACTAGTATTAAAATCAGAATGAAATATTGCCTTATGAATTTCAAAAGGATTACGTTCATATCATATGTCATCAACAAAATAATTCATATTTCAACAAACTGGATGGTTTGTTTTGGATTTATGTTGTTCATACTCCTGAAAAACTAAGGTCATTTAAGGACGTGCCTCCATGTGTATTTTGTATGCGTGCATGTATTTTTGTGTTCTGGAGACAGGGTATGTTTGTGTTATTGTCTCCTTGTGATACGGACTTTATAGTAATGTCTTACTAAAATACCATGTCGAATGCACCCGGCACAGCATTCCGCCCGGTCACATTATACTGACAACGATTGGACCAGTTGTTGTCATTTTCCTAAATGTTGAACGTTAAGCAGGGAATAACAAAGACCATTTTTAAGGACTTTGGTATGTCCTGGCTTGGGACAGAACCCATTGCTTTCCTCACCTGGGCGAACGTTCATCATTAAGCCAAAATGGAGGTGTTCCAAAGCAAAGCGTTATGAAATAAAAGATCGTTAGACGTAGAAAGAAATACAAAGATTTCAAATACTGCAACAAGTGGAAAACACATAACCAAATCCCCAAATATGCAGGGGTTCACACAGTAATCGCCTCTTACGATACATGCAGTGAGTAACAGCTGGTGTATTCTTTTATCGATCTCCGACCTGCAAGGGTAAACAGGAAGGTATGTTTGCGTTGGCGGGTTAGGGTTTCGGTTAACTAATAATTTATATATATATTTAATAGGATCATAATTAATTAATAAAATATATTTGAACATGTAAACTCTTGGTATTTGAAAAAACGACAAACACATAAACATTTTTAATTATATATATATATAGCGGTTTTTGGTGGTGGTGGGGTTTGGGTTAGGATGGGGGAGGGGAGGTTCTATTAGCATATTCGTTGGAATGTAGAGTTTCCTATACAATTTCTTGCCTCTGTTAACAGTTCTGTTAAATATTTATTTATGTATTTTGAAATTCCAATTTTTTTTTTTTTTTACATTTGCCTTATTCTCCATAGAACTTGTATGTTGTAGATATTATTAATAACGTGCATTTGAAAGGCCTCCCCGTAATAAAATGTGTATACGGCAACAACTGCTAATCCAGCATATGAAAGGCCTCCCCGTATTAAAATTTTTATACGGCAACAACTGCTAATCCAACATAGCGGCACCAATGGAACATGAAGATATCTTTGTTTGCACTAATTATGTTCGGTTTATTAACTTGTAAGACAACAGATAAGACCCGGATGACCTCGCTCTTGAGGTAACGCAATTCATGGAATATGTCCAGAAAGCCAATATTGTTATGACCTTCCTTTATTATAAATTTTTAAAATGTAAATCTTTCCTTTGGGTTCTAGCAACAGCAACTGAATCTGAAACCAAAAAATGCAACTCGAAAGAAAGGAAAGATTAATATATATTTTTCCCATGTATCGAATATTTCGTCATCAGTTTATCATTAACCAAATGCAACATAATTTTGTTTCCAATAAAAATATATTGTAAGATTTGTTTTTAATTCCACTGACTATTATTGAAAAAAATAATTGACCTGCAGTTACATTTAAGTTTTATTTTCATTTTGATATCTTTATGACGTTTGCAAACATGACATCAACTTTGCGGCTCCTGATGCTTCGTTTAATTACATTTCATGCAACCCTTATGCAAATCTATTATTTAGGGAAGCGACAACACAGCCCTGACTCTGATTCCGAAACTCAAGTTCGCAAATCAAAACGAAAGAACGGTGCGTATCAATTTGGTTCCATGTATCGATTATTTCGAAATTTGTCATTACTTTATCATTAACGAAAGTCAATCTAGTTTTAATATCTAAAATGTATCAGTTGTTAGATATTCATTAAAATACACTGACTATTATTGATAAAAATAATAACTTTGGCATCTACTTTGTAAATTTAAGATTTGTATTATTATATCTTTCTGACGTGTGGCAAACACTTTGTATCCGTCTCATTGTGTCTAGAAGACTGTTTTTACGATAAAACGAAACAAAAACTTTTGTTTATTCATTATTAGAAAAACGCAACATAAGCCGCGATTCTGATTCTGAAACCGAATATGAAAACCCCACATCGTCTGGAAGTGAAGCCGACGGAAGCGAATCGAATCGAAGAAAAGGTGAGCGCCGGTATATGATTAAGAATAAAGATTTTTTTTTAATAATTTATAACAAATCAAATCCCGTTATTTCTTAGTATTGGTCACTGTTGTTTTCGTAATGTGTCTGCAACACTCGAACAATATAGCAATTACCTTCGAATGAATTTACTTCTGTGCATCCTGCTCGATTTTTGTTTAATAAAGGAGTGGAAATATTCAGATTGTGATACAGCCCTAGATATTTAAATATGTTATTCTATCATGTCCATATGCAAATGATGTAAAGCTGCAAACATGATTTATACTTACAGAGAATGCGGGGAATTTAAGAAAAGAACACGATGACACGCACAATGCAAGCATAGTTCATACTTGGCAAACAGCGATGAATGCTGTCGGATTTATCCAGGGCCCAGTCTTTAGTGGCACAGGGTTTAGAGTGGGAGAGGACATGATAATGACAGCCTACCATGTGGTAGAGGACATAACAAGTAAGTATTTTATTGTTCATGAAACAATATTGTAAACACTATTTATTCCAATTTACAAAAATGCTTAATCGAAAATATACTTTTTGAGGCATTTAACCACCATATGCTAGAAATAATAAGATTTAATTTTTTGTTGAGAGAACAATCCTGTGATCATGGCCATGTTAACATGAAACAAGGGACGGAAGTAAAATCTGACGATTTTTGCTGTTAGTTTTTTCACATGTTTTCGAGATATACATACACTTTATAGTCCGTAAAGAAAACACGCACAACGCTTACACTGAAAAATTAAAGCTCACATAAAACTTGTACTTCATAATTTGTACACTATACCAACATAGGTAGACTTTAAAATCTTAACAAAATAGCAGCGGTCATGGTTTTATTTCGCTCTAAAAGCTTATTTTGGTGATTGGCACGTGACGTTTATAACTGTTTATACAATTAAAAAATATCATTTTACTTAAAAATCTGCTGGGCTTATATTTATATGGTTTAAAAAAAATACATTTACCTATTTATTAGCTCACTTAGCCCTTCATGCCATGGTGCGGCGTCCGTCGTCCGTCGTCAACTTTTTGCTTCAAACTTCTTCTTCTGAATTACCAAGAGGCTCAGAGTGATGATATTTGGCCAGTAGCATGCTTGGATGAAGGGCTACCAAGTTTGTTCAAATAAATGACCTTCACCTATTTTCACGGTCACAGAAATCAAATTTGTTAAAAACTTTCAACAACTTCTTCCGAATAACCAAAATGCCCAGGGTGATGATATTTGGCCAGTAGTATGCTTGGATAAAGAGCTACCAAGTTTGTTAAAATGAATTACCTTTATCCATTTTCAAGGTCACATGAGTCAATTGTCTTATACAATCTTTAAACAACTTCTTCTGAATAAGCAAGAAGCCTAGGATAATGATATTTGGCCTGTAACATGCTAGGATGAAGGGCTACCAAGTTTGTTCAAATGAATGACCTTTATTTATATTCAAAGTCACAGGAGTCAAATATGTTTAAAACCTTTAAACAACTTCTTTTGAATAACCAAGAGGCCTAGGGTTATGATATTTGGCAAGTAGCATGCTGATATGAAAGGCTTCCAAGTTTGTTAAAATAAATGACCTTGACAAATATTCAAGGTAACAATGGTCAAATAAGTTTGAAACATTTAAACAACTTCTTCTGAATAACCAAGAAGCCTAGGATAATGATATTTGGCCAGTAACATGCTAGGATGAAGGGCTACCAAGTTTGTGCAAATGAATGACCTGTATTCATATTCAAGGTTGCGGGTCAAATATGTTTATAAACTTTATACAACTTCTCCTGGATAACCAAAAGGCCTAGGATTATTATATGTTGCCAGTAGCATGCTGTGATAAATGACCTTAACTCATATTCAAGATCACAGGGATCATATATGTTTAAAATCTTAAAACAACTTTTTCTTAATAACCAAGAGTCCTAGGATAATGATATTTGGTCAGTAATTTGCTCAGATGAAGGGTTACCAAGTTTGTCCAAAGGAATTATCTTCGCCCATATTCAAGGTCACAGTGGTCATTATATGTTTAATTCGTTGAAAGATTTTTTTCTGTATAACCAAAAGGTCCAGGGTAATGATATTTTGCCAAACGCATGCTTGGTAGGAAGGGTATAAACTCTGTTCAGCCTAATGTCCATGTTCGACATTCAAGGTCACAGGAGTCATATGTTTAAATCTTTTAATAGGTTCTTATGAATCAAACACTGATATTCTGCCTGTAGCTGTATTTTAGTCCACTTTTAAGATAACAAATGTGAGATTAATACCAGGTGGGCGATTCAGGCCCATTGGGCCTCTTGTTAATTTTAACGTATATAAACAAGCTATTACAGTTAACATACTGGTGGTAATAAATATACTTCTTAAGATGCTCTATTGTACACAACACTCATGTATCTACTACATTTCAGAAACAACGCCTTCCCTTCCCGATCTAATCACGGTATATAATACGTTTTCCCTATTCCAGACAATAGAACATAAAAAGTGTCATCTTGTTCTTCTCGTTAGGGTGGTCGGGTGGCGCAGTAGATAGCGCACTTGCCTTTCACAAAGACGGCTGGGGTTTGGTTCCCCGATAGGACATGAAACTGCTTGCTGCAGTCCGGGCCAGCTGGAGTATTTGATATAAGTTTTCATAACTTGTTGTATCATTGTAAAATATAAAACAGTTATTTCATTTTATTATTTATTTCCCCTTTTCCAATTTAGAGACTCACAAGAACGACAAACCAGACCTGTCGAAACTTGGAACAGACAACGTATTCATCACGTTCAACTATCTCGAGGCCGATAACTCAACGAAAGTTCGAAAAACTCGAAAGTTTTATTTCAAAGAACAACGTTTTTCCCATGACAAAGAAATGGATTTCGCCATTTTACAATTACGAAATAAGGATAATAACGAAGAATCTAGCTATCCAAAAGCCATAACGCGTTTCAAGCCCGTATACCCTGAGCAGACCTTCGCTCTACTCGGTCACCCCGATCGGAAACCTATGCAGCTAGATCCCAAGGTTCACATCTTTGATCCCAAGAGTGATCAAGGGAAAAGACGGCTAGAGAAGATGAAAAAATGGGGACGCAAAAAAGGTAAAAAATCGGCGTATGAAAAAATCCTAGACGAAAGAAAAGTTTTATTTGACTGCTGGGTTCAGCATGGGGCTTCTGGATCACCGGGAATTGAAATGGGTTCCGATGGGGAGCCCGTCTGTAGCCTCATGCTCATACACGGATATCCGAATTTTGTCTTTGATGATGAATATAAAAGAAAGGAAAAAGATCATCCATACATGATCGAGCAAGGTGTTACAATGCAGGCGATTGCAACACAATTAAACGGAATGGGTTCAGATGCGAGGAAAATGAAGCAGGAAATATTTGCTGACGTTTTTGAGTAATTAAGAATTAGAAAAATACATCGGTGTGCTTAAACAAGAGCATTTCTATTTTGCATCAAAACAGCATTTCATATCAAAGGCTAAGTTTGTTTTAAACACAAACAGAATTGAAATCTTCTGTGTTCTTAGTCAATCAATTAGTGTTGCACTCTTATACTGCAGGCAGTCGAGAGAACGGGCAATATATTTACCATTCCACTCCTTAGTGGATGGTGCTGCAAAGGTCATTAGGGCTAGGTTAAATACAACTCATCAAATTTCACCGGCACAATTTACCGACAAAGTAGTAAGATCGTAATATAATGAACATATCCTGAGAGTGAAAACATTTATGTCGGCATCAAACTCATTTTCATCTTGAAAGTGAAAGAAAAATAAATTTGCTATAATGAAACCAGCAGTTTTCAGTTGTTGTTTTAATGCATGATTCTTTTCTGGCCTGTTTCGGTATAGCTGTACTGTCTGCATAGTTGATGATTTAGCTTATATGGTGTTTTCCTGAAAAAAACACCACACAGGTATTGTCCACAGTATACACGTAATGTTAACATACGGAGACAAAACTACACCCACTGGTTCGAGGAAAGAGTAGGTCTGCTGTAGCCCACTGCATAATTTCGTCAGTCAACGAAACCTGACCATCTGCAGAATCGATAATTCTTCCATTCTGTGAATTCAGCTTGTTGGACATTCAGGAAACAAAAGTTGATCTGCTGCTCCACTATAAGGGATCTTTATCTTCTTGGATGACCCTACAACTCGTTCCTTTCGGCGCTATCTCCCTAAGTACATATGAATCTGATAACTGCGATAACGTTTAACACAACACAAACGAAAAGAAGGAGACAAAAAACAGATTTACTGGTAACCACGGAATCCATTTCGTGGATACTTGCTTTATGATAGTTATTTGTGTCTGAATGCGTTAGAAGCCCAGTATGCAGAATTTGACACTCGCTATTGGAATATACTTGTGTCAGAGTTTTAGATTTAAGAATAATTGTAAAGATATTGCTTACTTTCAAAGCTGCCGTTTGCGACTGTATCGGTTGTCTAAGAAAAACAATAGTGTTATATACGTTTGTAATTAAAGGGCAGTTCATGGACTATCTTTTGAAAATCAATGATTCTATCTTAAATATAACGAAGACTTTCAAGACTGTGCCTTGTATAGTTGTTTAAATATCTAGTGTACAGGAAGAAATGTTCGCCAAACAAGTACCATAATGTTCACTTGTTCCTTTTGAAAAAGCGTCCATGAAAAATCAGGGGAGCTTATCTTCTTCCGAACATGAGGAATTGTCTAGAATTTCTGATGTTTCGAGATAAAACAACGTAATGACCATTCGATGGATAAGTTCTTGCATATCTTCCGGACATGTATAAGTTCTGATTGAAAAATATCACCACTACGTATGAAGGTGACCCGTTACACAAAGTATAGAAACTCTATATAATTTGCAAATAATTGCTGTTTCGAGAGTTAACCCATAGTGTGAAACCAGTCCTGCTAAACCATGTTTCATTTTTTTATGATAGGGATTGATATTCGTCGGATGCATACACAATTTTCTCGAAAGAAGATCTAAACATACATGTAGAGTGTGCTGACATTTCCAAAGTTAGTGTAAATTTTCCAGACACAGTCGATCTGAGTTTCAAAAATCGTTGGCCGGGAAATTGAGTCAAGGAGAACAGTTACTCCACAACTCAATGTTTTTAGTCGACATGTTTACCCTCCGTAAGGGTCAGCGAATAAGCACCAGCGACATGAACCTTTACTTTTATCAGAACCGCTATCTGTGTAGAGCGTCACATAGGAATAACCCTTTTAACTATGATTTTGAGCAGACGACAGGAGACGCGTGTGTATGATAAACGATCCATAACAGATAACGGCTTTTAAATGTCATTAGTGTAGGGCTGCGGGTGTGTGTGTGTGTGTGTGTGGGGGGGGGGGGGGGGGGGGGGGGGATGCGGGTCTGATGTGCGTTGTAACGACATACAGTTAGGGTAGACAAGTGTGTGCTCAGTAAGTGTATTTACACAGAACGATCAACACATGTGATCACGCAAGCGTAAACTGTAAGAGAAGTGCATAAAAATACGTTGTGTCATTTTATAGTCAAGAGTTATATTTGTGATATTGTCACTGGATCAGGAAAACAATATTTAGAGAATATTTGACAAACCCTCAACACCCGGCTTTGTTTAATGGTCATGGAAAACTCTTTCAAGTGGTGAAAAAGGAGGGATATATGAAATAGGGTTGACGATGATTCGTCACCTTTTAAGTGACAAAAACACACATGGACTAAACAAAAGAATGTACAGAAAGTTTAAGCGCTTTCGCCCTAATTGCTGACTTGGATGATCCGTGGGACGGAGATAAACTTGCGAAATGCAACGACAAAACTCGTTTTATATTAGTTTTGCAAGACGTGTCTTCTACAAAAACCGGCATCGCCCGTAATTGAGGTTTAAAAAGACGTTTTCTTTGGGGTTCACGTTATCTGAACAGATTTGGAGAGTTAAATTTATACATGACATACTTTCACTTGAGGTGCCGGATTCGTTTGATTCATAATTTTTCGAAACTGAAATAGATTTTCCAAGCGTAGCATAGCCATTTAAAGTAAAACTTTGCACATAATGTATGCCAACTATCGGTCGTATGCGTACATCAGCAAATAATAGAACATCACCGGCAATATCAACGACTTGTCCCTATTCAGGTTTGGAACGATTAACGGAAACGAAGGCTCAAGACAAAGAATGACAGAAGGAGGTAGAGATTGAAGGGGAAGCATTGATAACAGATTTGTCGTTACAATACTGTATTCGGCTACGTTAATTTTACAAAATATCAAAACGAGATGACTTCTTCGACCTTTTTAAATTTAAATCCGTGTTATTATAATGTTGGCTGATAACGAAATTAATATCTTTAACAAGAGGCCCAATGGGCCTGCATCGCTCACCTGGTATAAAACTCACACTTGTAACCTTAAAAGTGATCTAAAATAAAGCTACAGGAAAAATATCAGTATTTATGATTAAAATTCATTCAAAAGACCCTGTTATTTTTTTTTTTAACATTTCACCCCTGTGATTAAAAGTCGAACAAAGTCATTATGTTGAACACATTGTATAGCCTTTCATCTCAGGATGCAACTTGCAAAGTATAAACATCCTGGGACCCATGGTTATTCAGAAGAGGTTGTTTAAAGATTTAAAAAAAATTGACCCCTGTGACCTTGAATATAAGTCAAAGTCATTCACTTTAACAAACAAAGTAGTCCTCTATCCCAGCATATGCTACTGACTAAATATCAACATCCTGAGCCTTTTGGTTATTCATAACAAGTTGTTGAAATATTTTGAACATATTTGCTCCTTGTGACCTTGAATATGATTCAAGGTCATACATTAATACAAACTTCGGAGCCCTTGATCCTAGTATGCTACTGACCAAATATCATCACCCTGGGCATTTTGGTTATTCAGAAGAAGTTGTTTAAAGTTTTTAACATATTTGACCCCTGTGACCTTGAATATGGGAGAAGGTCATGCATTTGAACAAACTTTGTAGCCCTTCATCTCAGCATGCTACTGGCCAAATATCATCAACCTGTGCATTTTGGTTATTCAGAAGAAGTTGTTGAATGTTTTTCACATATTTGACCCCTGTGACCTTGAATATAGATGAAGGTCATTTATTTGAACAAACTTTGTAGCCCTTTATCTCAGCATGCTACTTGCCAAATATCATTACCCTGGGCATTTTCTTTATTCAGAAGAAGTTGTTTAAAGTTTTTAACTTATTTGACCCCTGTGACCTTGAATATGGGTGAAGGTCATTCATTTGAACAAACTTTTTAGCCTTTCATCTCAGCTAGCTACTGGCCGAATATCAACTCCCTGAGCATTTTGGTTATTGAGGAAAAGATGTTTAAAATTTTTGACATATTTGACCCCTGTGACCTTGAAAAAAGGTGGAGGTCATTAATTTTAACAAACTTTGTAGCCCTTCATCCAAGTTTGCTTCTGGCCAAATATCGACACCCTAGGCCTTTCGGTTATTAAGAAGAAGTCGTTTAAAGTAAAATATTGACGCCGGACGACGGACGGACGGACGGACGGACGACGGACGCTGCGTCACGGCATAAGCTCACTTTGCACTTCGTGCCAGGTGAGCTAAAAATGGTCGAAAATCCGTTATGTGATTTCTGTTTAATACTGCCATGCCGAATTTTACACACCTAATCAATGAACACTTTCGCTCTAACATCGATGTCAAACATCGTTGGGAAATAATATATATAATTTTAATGCTACAGCAGTGTAACGTTAATTACATACAGAGAAGTGTCATCAGCAAAAAGTTTGATATTGGTGGAAACATTAGTAGTGATATCATTGTTAAGAGAAGAAATAATAGTGGTCCGAGGAAAGATCCTTGAGGTACCCTGCATTTACATTCTTAAATTGTGAAAAGAAACCTTCAGTATTTACTTTTTGCATTCTGTTAGACAGATAATTTTCAAACCACAAAAGTAGATTTCCATTTCAAAGACCTTCGTGCCATACTCTGTCGAAGGCTTTACTGATATCACAAAAAAACAAATCGAAGCTCCTTTCCTTTATCCATATTGCTTGCAATTTCATTATAAATAAACAAAATCTGATTGAAAGTAGAATCACCAGGTATAAAGCCAGACTGATGCTTAGTAATAATATCATTCTCAATCAGAAAGTTGTATATATATTTAAAAAAACAAGAGGCCCAATGGGCCTGCATCGCTCACCTGGTATACAACTTACACTTGTAACCTTAAAAGTGATCTAAAATAAAGCTACAGGCAAAATATCAGTATTTATGATTAAAATTCGTTCAAAAGACTCTGTTAATTTTTTTTAAAACATTTCACCCCTGTGATTAAAAGTCGAACAAAGTCATTATGTTGAACACATTGTATAGCCTTTCATCTCAGGATGCAACTTGCAAAGTATAAACATCCTGGGACCCATGGTTATTCATAAGAGGTTGTTTAAAGAATTTAAAGAAATTTTACCCCTGTGACCTTGAATATAAGTCAAAGTCATTCACTTTAACAAACATAGTAGTCCTTGATCCTAGCATATGCTACTAACTAAATATCAACATCCTGAGCCTTTTGGTTATTCAGAACAAGTTGTTGAAATATTTTAAACATATTTGCTCCTTGTGACCTTGAATATGATTCAAGGTCATACATTTAAACAAACTTGGTAGCCCTTGATCCTAGTATGCTACTGACTAAATATCATCACCCAGGGCATTTTGGTTATTCAGAAGAAGTTGTTTAAAGTTTTTAACATATTTGACCCCTGTGACCTTGAATATGGGTGAAG